AGCCTGGCGAGACTTCCCACAGCAAAGCCTAAAGTCGGAAAAGTTACAGTGAGCGCACAAAATCAGTAAAATGTGTATACTCATTTCAGTTATCTCACCTTAATTCTCATGCTACGTCGTTCGTTTTGGTATCATTGTGTTCGCAATTAAATTCCCTGCAGATGTATATGCATATAATGTCCAAAAGCCTGGCAAGACTACCTGCAGCAAAGCCTAAAGTTACCCCTGAACGAGCATCAATTTGCACACCACAACCTAATGTGTATACTCGTTCAGTTTGATAACATCAATTTTCATGTTACATCGCTCGTTTTGGTACCAAATTGTTCGCCAAATAAAGGCGCGCATTTTAAAACTAGTCCCATAATAATAGAGCAATAACTGGAATTTTAACAAATATTTTAATTTTGGACGCTCATCATCAAAATTATTTATATATTTCCAGTGTTTTGACATAAAATATCAGGTTACATCGCTCATTTTGGTATCAAATTGTTTGCAATATAAAGGCTCGCATTTTAAAACTAGTCCCATAATAATAGCACAATAAATAGAATTTTAACAAATATTTTAAAATTTAAAATTTAGACCCAAAAACGTATTTATAATCTTTCAAGTGTTCTGACATCAAGTTTTGTGTTACATCTTTCATTTTGGTATTAAATTGTGAGCATTTTAAAGGCGCTTATTTCGAAACTATCCCGAGGTCAATCGGATAAAAAATGGATTTTATACAAATATTTTTTGTAGTGGACGCAAGTCCTGTCCACGGCTGTGACTCGGGAGAAAAAAAATGGCCGTGATCAGTGTCCGAAGTGAGCGATAGTGTTAAGGGTTAACCAGAATAGGGGTTTGTTTTGGGGGCGCCTACCATTCTGGGTGCCTGTCCCGGTCGATGGCAGACATAGAATGCTCCCAATCACAGGGGGAGTTTCTATAGGCCATTGCTCCTTGTGTCTCTCTGAGGGGGGCCAGGTTCTGGCTCGTGGTCCCCGGTAGGCAAGAACTCCTAGCACTTTGATTGATCCCAGAAAGTTATACATATCCATTCAGCCTGGATAGCTCCAGGGAGCCAATGGGACTCCTCCCAGAAAACTTGTTTTTCTTGTAAACCTGTTGATTTGTGTTCCCTGATCACGGGAAAATAATAAAAAAAATCGTAAGTGGCATATTTTGGCCGCAACAGGGTGGGGAAGTCTGGCAAAAAAAAAATAGAGGCGCTGATGCAGCAAGCGTCGGGGGAGTTCTGCTTTGCCGAAGCTGTCAGGCGTGGGGGAGGGGGGGTTGCCACAAAGATATAATTACCTAATTATTTCAATGTCTCTGATTTATTTTTTATTTTTTTTTTTGCTGTAAATAGTAGTAATAGTAAATAGTAATAGTAGTACGTAGTAAATAGTAATTCAATAGTGTGTAGTGTGATATATTTATATAATAAAATGTGTGAATCATCGCTGTACTCAAAATTACAGTGTGCACATTACTGATTCAATTATTATGTTCATAAAACAGTGCACAAATACTTTGTCGGTTATTACACTATATACACAGGTTATATGTAAGTGTCTGCATATTTTGTTCACCATAATGAACCACTAAGTTGATAATGTGAGTCAAAAAGCAATGAGGAGTGGCCACATCTGCCAGCCAGCCACTTGCCACCACTCCCTCCCACAAAAACTCCACACTCGCCAAATTTCTCTTCCACCATACTGTTTTTGCTTTTATTCATTATATACAGACTATATAAGTATCTACATGTTCTGCTCCCCATAACTGTTAATCTTAGCTGGTATAGTGCCCAAAGAGCATAGTGGCCATCCCTTACCAACATGACAAATCATGCAGATGTTGCCACCTCCCTCACCAAAGTGTCTTCTCCCAACACTCCTTTTGCTGTTATTACACTATATATACACATTATATATACAGTGGTACCTCGGCTTACAAGCTCCCCTGGTTACGAGTTTTTCGGGTTACGAGCATGATTTGCTCGGAAAATTTGTATCGGGATACGAGGGTTGATTCAGGTTACGAGTTTGTTGATACACGTACGGACCGACCGAGCGCGTGGTGGCACGGCGATCGCCGCACAGTTTGCCAGTGCCTCGTGCCCAGTGACTATTCTGCCTGAATTCTTCATGGGGATTTACAGTTTTTTGATGGATTTTTGGCCATTTGAGCATAAAAGTTGTTATTATATCTTGCCATGGATCCCAAGAAAGCCAGTGGTAAGGTTCAACCAAAGAAAATAGTTGTGAGTAGAGGCAGTAGAGGATGTCCCTTTTTCATTAAGAAAATATGTGAGATATGGGAAGAACTGCAAAGTTTTGTTGAGAAAACTCACCTAGATAAAGCTGTAGCAGGCCATTGCATTGACCTTTTAAATGACAATGTGATGTCTCACTACAGACAAGTGTTAAAATGTAGTGAAAAACAAATGTCTTTAGACAGATTGTAAGACAAGCAAGCAGTGAGCCACAAGCAGGTCCTAGTGGTATGCAGGCAAAACGTGCCAGAGAGTGCACACCAGAGAAGTCCTCACTGCCTGATGTGATAACGGAAGGGGACTCCCCTTCCAAACAGTAACACCTCTCCTCCTCCCCCCCTCCTCACCATCTTCTGTACGCCAAGAGCAGTCATCAGCAATGGTAAGTAATAACTTGAACATAGTTTTGTAGTGTAGATTTAGATGAATTTGGTATAAAATTTAGTTTGAAGTGAGGTTTTTGGGTAGTCAGGAACAGATTAATTCATTTTCCATTATTTCTTATGGGGAAATTAGCTTCGGGTTACGAGCTGTCTCCAGGAACGGATTAAACTCTTAAACCGAGGTACCACTGTAAGTATCTACATTTGTGTTCACCATAAGGAACCACTAAATTGGTATGCTGAGTCAAACAGCAGCAAGGAGTGACCACCACACACCAGCCACCCCGCCACTGGCTGCCACTCCCTCCCCTTATCTGACTCGCCAACATTCTCTTCCTACCATGCTGTTTTTTGCTTTTTATTCACTATATACAGACGTTATATGTAAGTATCTGCATGTTTTGTTCACCATAGCGAACCACTAAGCTGGTACTAAGTCCAGACAGTAAAAGATGGTCACACACAGTCAGCAGGTAACGTTTCTGCCAGAAACGCTGCGCGTACTAGTGGCTTTACAAGATTGTAAATACCATGCTATGTATCCTCACAATCCCAATGTATCTTCTTGTATATAGATAAATAAATAAATAAATAAATAAATACCTCCCCACCAAGATTACTCCTCCCACTACAGCGCTAATTATCACAACAATCCTACTATTATCAGAATCCTGGACATTTTTATCACAGTCTGGGGTCTTCTGTAATACTTTCATCGCTAAATAAAATAGCATGTACATATATATATGTTGACATTATTAGGCGATGATGTGGTCACAAGCTGAACAACAGTGCTGTGAGCTCATGCTGCATGTGCCAGTCTTGGTGGCTCACTCAGTACCGAGGCCTTAACACCCGGGAATGTTGCCCACAATTTAAAAAAAATATGGCGTCTGTTTACAAGAACCCTGATGAAGGTAAGGTGAACCCCGTGTATCCGCTGGCCATTTAAATCTTGCGTAGTACTCCAACACGTCATATGACGTGATGCACAATTTTGGTTAAGTTACTCAACACGTCATATGACGTGCTGCGCAGTTTAAGGGTTAACCCTCAGTTCCACTTAATAGGAGCTATTCTCCTTATCAAAACTCCTTTTTTTTTAAATATTTGTATAAAATCCATTTCTTAACACATTGGGATGAAATTTTCACAACGCTGTTGCCAAATAATTGGAAATTCGTACATTTTCAGGTAATTTTCATATTATTTTAATATCTTTTTAAGTTCCTGGCCCCTTAACATTTTAACTGTTTTGGGTTATTTTTTGGATCCCTGTGAGTTATAATCACCCTTTCACTACTCCATCTTATCTAACATAGTTCCATATGAACAAACATCCATATAATTTATTTGTTGCACCTAAAAATCCTGCGAAGAATGAAATCCACCACTTATTTCTGGTTGGTCTTTCAGTAGCTCTCCATTTTCAGACTTTGTCTTTTCTGGTGAAGAACAAGAATTTGACTTTCAGGAGAGATCCAGTGGTGCCTCGTTTGTTTGAGCGGCAGTGCATCATGCTCTGTTCTATGGTGGCTCTCTGTTGCTACTTGACCACCGTGAGTAATAGTCATGATGATGCTTTTTGTTAATCACATGTTCCTGGTTCCTTATTACAGGACTTGATTGTCGTGGGTGATCCAGCGTATGGTTAAGTTGAATCAGCTGGCTATGTTTCCTTGTGCTCATGATGTCTACAAATGTGTAGCCCTTTGTTGCATTTTTTAGTAATATGCCCCTCTCTCTAATATTTTGTGACTGATGCTTTTTGTTGTTCTAGCAGTGCTAGCAGCTTGGCATTTAGTCAATGCTTCTCACCTGTTTTGTGTTGGTTTGGTTGACCTAGCATGACCTTTTGTTTGTGATATCACCTTCCCCCCCCCCTCTTATCACATTATGCCTGGCCCAATTGTTACTTTGTAGGGTATCAGCATCTATCTATACGAGTTACCTCAGATAACCTTTAAAGAAATCTTCCCAGAAATATATCATTGAATGTAACGAAATGCATCTTTCTGGTGGGTCCCTCGATAGTCTCCCCCCTATTCCCACTCCTACTCTTTTTGTGTAATCTTTTGAGACGATACATTTGAGTGGTGCAAGAATGAGTGGGGTGGTATCCCAAGACTGCTGGTGGGTGAAGTTGCCACCTCGTGGCTTGCATATAAAATTAAAGCCATATTTAATTATAACAGTCTGAGATTACATATTCAAACAATGATCTCACCAATAATTTTAATTGCTGTTAATTTATATGCTGTATACATTTGGTATGCATACATCACAATCACATAAAACCAGCATGAACTGAATGTACTAAACTATAAAGATAATCATAATGTAATTACTTTTAGCTTGCTGATAATGTTATTCAACTGAAGTATATTGAGTTGCTGCTCTTTTTCAACTACTGCAGCCTTTTCCTTTGTTGTGGATAATATTTCCAGAATTTTCTTTTCATATGATTTTGTTATTTCCTCACGAATCTTAGATTCTGCTTCATGAACCTGTAAGTAAATAAAAATACAAAAAATAATTTTCTTTCAATAGATCATACATAGTATAAAACAATAGTTGTAGACTGATTTGTAAAAACACTGAGAGATGCAGAGATAAAAAATCAGCGTTGAATGTAATGAAACGCCATTTTCTGGGTGAGTCCCGGAGGCTCCCCGGAGCTATCCAAGCTGCATGGATATGTATAACTTTCTGGCATCAGTCAAAGTGCTTAAGAGTTCTTGCCTACTGGGGACCACGAGCCAGAACCTGGCCCCTTCAGAGAGGTATGAGGAGCAATGGCTTATAGAGACCCCCGTGTGGTTGGGAGCATTCTGTCTGCCATCGACTGGGACAGGCACCCAGAAAGGTAAGCATCCCCAAAAAAAAACCTATTCTGGTGAAAATATTGCTACCGAAAGCTGAACTAGTGGACAGAACTCCCCAAGCAAAATTATCAAACTAGCATGACATCATCCCGTCCCCGCGCCGCTGTCTGCGCAACCCCCCCCCCCCTCCCCGGGAGAGGGAAGGGGGACCCCCCAGACAATTCGCCCCGGCGATCCAACCGGCAGTTCTTAGACTGGAAGTCAAAATACGCAAAAAAAACAGCGTTCAATGTAATGAAACGCCATTTTCTGAGTGAGACCTGGAGGCTCCCCAAAGCTTACTGGGCTGATATGCTAATGTCAGACTTTGGCATCAGTCATGTGTATGGAGTTCTGTGGGGCTACCGAGGACAACGAGCCAGAACCTGGCCCCCTCAGAGAGGCAAGGGGAGCAATGGCCTATAGAAACCCCCGTGTGGTTGGAAGCATTCTGTGTCTGCCATCGGCCGGGTCAGGCACCCAGAAAGGTAAGCATTCCAAAACAATCCCCCTATTCCAGTGAAATTATTGCTACCAAAAGCCGAACAAGTGGATAGAACTCCCCTAAAAGAAATGAGCAAACGATCATGACGTCACACGTTGCTGCATTGCTGTCTGTGCAGCTCCCCCCTTCCCGGGAGGGGGGAAGGGGAAGCGCCAGTCCCCTCACACCGGCTATCCACCCGTTAGTTCTGAGGCTGGATGTCAAACACACGAAAAAACACAAACCGGGGGAAGAGAAGGATGCCAGGGAGCCTCCGGGTCTCACTCAGAAAATGGTGTTTCATTACATTCAACGCTGGTTTTCTGGGGGGAGTCCCATTGGCTCCCCGGAGCTAACTACCCACAAAGGAAAAACTTAGGGACTTAACTGGGAGGCAGTCATTGCTCACTCCACAACTCGAAGGCGAGACAACTGGCTGCAACCACCGACCCAAAACGACACAGGCCCAACTAGGCCCAGAGACGTGGACGAGGTAACGAGCAGCCAGGATCCTGTTCAACCTCCAAAAGCCCCTATGCCCAAATGTCAGCCCAGGACATGGTGCCAAAGACGGCAGCAAGAGCAGCGAATATACGAATGTCATAGGCACGGGGATAGACTGCAGGCTGGCTAGCCTGAAGAACTCTGCGGACGACCTGGGAGACCTGCACCCGCGAACAGGGAAGAAGGGAAACCGGATCAACCCAAAGCGCGTCGCTGGATACAGAAGCTGTAGCGCGCAATAACGGCGAAGAACCGCCACCGAACACAACATAATGCATCCCTGGCCCAACCAAGCATCAGCAAGCCAGGGACTCCTCTGGAAAGCACCAGTCTCATTCTTTGCCAGAAAAGAAGGAGACAGCTGCAGACAAACCAAACCAACACGAAGACCGAAAGAGCAGAAACCCCTGGGCCGGAGGAGAGCAAGAAGCTCCCTAACCCGACCCCCAGAGGCCAATGCCAATAGAAAAGGAGCCCTGAAGAACAATCCTGAACAGAAGGGGTCACAACAAACCGAGGAGAAGAAAGAAAAAAGCACTCTGTCCAATGACTAGGATGGCTCAGGCAGTGCAAGAGCAGGCCAGAGGTGAAACAATGCACGAGACAGCCTGCGAAACGGGGCAAAAGAAACTTTAATACCGAAAGCAAGCTGAAGCGGCTCTGCCAGTGCCGCACGATACTAGGCGACAGTATGGGGCAAGATGACATCCCCAAACCTCCACAAGAGAGGGACAAGACCATGCCAACAAACGCAGCCACCGAAGAAGGGACAGAAGAAAAGGAAGGACCGCCAAAAACCCCACACTGCTGCCAAGAAGAAGCACGCAGGTAGGATACCATCAACGAAACCACTCGACCACCATCAGAAGGTGAGAGACTCAAGGCAGAACTGAACCGGCCCCGCCATGGGCCAATCAAGCCAAGGAAGAGGCGGAGCCGCGGGAAGATCTCAGGTGTGACCACGGAGCCAGCAGAGTCGGAAACCCAAGCCGACAAAGGAGGAGATGGAACGTCTGCCGTACAGAAAAACATCCCAACGCTGGCGAGCCTGTCAGGAGATCGGAGACGACAGTCCGACGTGCGATTCACGAGAAGGGAAACCAAGAGACCGTGAAAATGCCAACAGGCCGGGTAAGCTAGGAAACCAGGAACCCAAACCTGGCAATAGGAGAGCCAAAAGGCACAAACAAAACACAAAACCATGTTTAGGATAAAATGAGAAAACGGAAAAAACACAAGAAAAGACCAGAAGTAAAAGCCCCAGCACCAACGGCCAGGGACAAGAGCGTAGAAGGAAGATGAGGAACAAAGAAGGCAAGTAGCAAACGGGAATGAAAGGGCCACGACCAACAACACACAGAGGCTTGGGGCCTCGTAGCCTGGTGGATAGCGCGCAGGATTCGTAATTCTGTGGCGCGGGTTCGATTCCCGCACGAGGCAGAAACAAATGGGCAAAGTTTCTTTCACCCTGAATGCCCCTGTTACCTAGCAGTAAATAGGTACCTGGGAGTTAGTCAGCTGTCACGGGCTGCTTCCTGGGGTGTGTGTGTGTGTGTGTGGTGTGGGGAAAAAAAAAAAAAAAAAAAAAGTAGTTAGTAAACAGTTGATTGACAGTTGAGAGGCGGGCCGAAAGAGCAAAGCTCAACCCCCGTAAAAACACAACTAGTAAACACACAACTAGTAAACACAGAGCCGCTGATCACATGCCAACAAACCACGCCAACAACACAGTTGTGCGACACATCCCAACACAAGACAAAAAGGAAAAAGGCGCAAAGGTACGCCACCAGACCAGTACCCAAACCAAGGAGTACGAGCTACGAGGATATGATCACCACATAAGAGATTCCCAAAGGAAGTGATAAGGTAGAGAAAGACCGACTACGGGACCCCAGGGGCACATGCATCAGGGGACACCGGTGGAATGAGAGCCCAAACGAGCCAAAGAGACATAGGAAAGAAGGATTGCAGTGTCAGAGTAGTAGACAAGCGGAACACAAGAGGAAGCGACATGGTGGAAGATGACACCACACACACAGCTTCAAGCACAGATAAGATAGAGCACAGCAGGCTCATGAACACGCACATGAGCGAATGACAGGTGAGAAGCAGGACCAAAAAGCCAGAGCTCAACTCCCGCAAACATAACTAGGGAAGGACAAGTAGAGAAGTACCGTACAGAGAATCCAATGTATTTGGAATGGCTAAACCAGGCACTGCAAGACATGCAAGGAATGAGTGACCCATTGAAAACAACGAAAAACGGGGCCGTGACACCCCTTGCAACCATTAACCCAGATGAACAAGTAAGGCCCCAAGAAGAAGCACGGAAGAGCCAAACAAAAATCCCCAACCAATCCCCAACACACATCCACAGCATGAAAACTGCAGCAAAATGTCACCTCAGAACATCCAGACAGGAACACTTACCCATAACATATACCCCCATCACTGTACCTCGTGGAGGTACCTACCTGGTGGAGGAGGGCTCCTATCTGGACTCAAGCATGTGCTGGACATGCATAAGAGTGGGACTGGATGGGTATAAATAGGAGCTGCCTCGTATAGCCCAATAGGCCTGCTGCATACTATTGGGCCTTGTATAGCCAAAGAAGAACCAGATGCAGGAATGAATGGGGGGGGGGCACATAACAGGGGAAAGACAAGGTGGCATGGAAGGAACAAAACCGAAGCGTCCAACACCCCCAAGCCCCGTCACAGCAACCAAAACGGGGCAGCCCCGGGGCTCCCGGGGAGCAAACGACCGAGTGCATTGCACCACCGAAACGCAACTTGCAACGCCCGTGCTGCCTGCACCTGCATAGTCAGCATAAGACTGGGTAATCAAGCCACAAACAAGCAACAAAACTTGCAGGGCTCCGGGCTGAAGATGCCATTGATCCCACAGGCAGAAGACGGAGGCAAAACAGTGAGAGTCACCCTGAGACAAGGGGGACAGAGCAACCCTCTAACTCGCACAAAGCGAGGTGGGGACTCCGGGGCCACATCCATTGGACCCCCGCACCCCCTCGGGGTTTCCCAGGGTCCTGAGCATTTACCTACAGGAACTCACGCCCAGGTAATCCCAGGCAGGGTACTGCTGACTGGTGCCCAAGTCTACCAAACAACTTTCTAAGAACTGAACCCCCGGGGACGTGTACACTCACGGGCACCAAGCAGGGGAAACCACCGGAAGAAGGAAGAGTACTCAGTACACAGGGGGCAAGAAACAAGGCAGACACCCCTTCCCCCCCCCCCCAGGCAGACAAACAAAAAGAAAAAGAAAACCCCACAAGAGGGCAACGTACCCAGGCGGAACAGAGCCAGCCGCTATGATTGGTGAAAACAAGCTGCGCAGTACCCTGCGCCCCTACCAGTGCAAACAGCCCCCTACCCCAAGGCGAACAAGGAAGACAGAACACCCAAGCACACAAAGGGCGGCCGAATACCAAGCAGTAAACGGCCTAGCAGGGGCAGAACCCAAGGAACTTGTGGAAGGTGGCCCCCAAGCCCCAAAGGCAGTACTTACAGGGCACCTAGGGAAGGAAACTCTAGGCACATGCAGCCCGAGTACTGGAGAATCACTCCCGGCTCACGCACCACCTAGAAGACAGTCACCACACACAAGGTACAGTGCTGAAACAACCACTGGAGC